CACGAGCCGTGAGATCAAGAGCTGAGCTGAAGTTGGATTTTTACCCGACTGAGCCACCCAGGTTCCCCAAACTTACTTAGTTCTTTAATTTCAGCATTTTTCAGAAGTTTTATTTGGACTTCTTTCAAATGTGCTACATAACTTTTATAGTTTCTTCCCTGCAGATATTTTCAAGCCTATCTTTTATTTCTAAAATCAGAAGCAGCACTATTTTCTAAAAATTATCAGGGTTTAATAATTCTGGTATCTGAGAACTTTGTAATCTGTTTTTGCTGTTATTTTCCTTATTCTTACTCCTACTGATGTCCTTACATATTTGATTATATTTAACTGTGTGCTGATCACTGCCTTGAAAAATTATTCCTAAGGATTTTCTAGGGCTAAGAAAGAAGGTGTCTTCTTCCAGTGAAGAAGTGAACCTACAATTGCCTCTGCCATCTACCTTGTAGTATGACCCATTCCCAAACCATTTTAAACTAGGGATTCCTTGGATCACTCATTAATACAAATTTGAACTAAAAATCAATGTGCAAGTCCCCACCATGGTCAGGCTATCTCAAAGACAGAGAAGTTTCGTTTTGTTTCTGTTCTGCTCGGGACCAGGGCAACTCTCCCCCATGGTGCCCTATGTGGGGAAGGGGAAACAGTTTTCTTCCTGAGTTACATTTACTCTGAGGCTGTAAACCATGGAGGAAGATTTCATTTCATCTCCCTATCAGAGGCAAGGTTTTGATTTATCTTCCTCTCACCCCACAAGCTATTAAAACTTCACTTGATTTTTGATTTGGCTTTGATTTCTCTTTATCCCTCCACAAAGCTATCAAAACTCAATTTTGTCAGAATTTGTCCTCAGACAATAGTAGATGCTGAGCTTTGCTTACTTTTCTGGTTTCTTGCTTTTTCTTAGCTTTTGGCTTAGAAATATCATTAACATTCACTAATTTCTCATTTTCAAAATACCTAATAAAATATTCTTATTCAATCCAACAATTCCACCTCTGGATATATGTCCAAAAAATTAAAAAGCAAGGACTCAAATGAAAACGAAAAAAAAAAAGGCAAGGACTCAAACACATATTTCTATACTCATGTTCATAGCAGCATTATTCCCAATAGCCAAAAGGTGCAAGCAACCCATATGTTCACCCAGGTATCAATGGACTAAAAAAAAGTATTCTATACATAAAATAGAATATTATTCAATCTTAAAAAGGGAATGTTGACACATGTCACAATATGGATGAATCTTGATGACCTTATGCTAAATGAAATCACCCAGTCACAAAAGGACAAATACTGTAGGACTACGTGAGATATCCAAAGTAGTCAAATTCACAGAGACACAAAGCAGAGTGGTGGTTGCCAAGGAATGGAAAGAAGGAAGAATGGGATGTTACTCTTTAATGGGTATGGAGTTTCAGTTCAGAAAGATGAAAAAAAAGTTCTGGAGATGGATGATGGTGATTGTTGCACAACAATGAATGTACTTAACTGCCATTAAACATAAATATGGTTGCAATGGTAAATTCTATGTTGTATACATTTTATTAGGATTTTATTTTTTAATTATTTTTAATGTTTATTTTTGAGACAGAGAGAGAGAGAGAGAGACAGAGACCGAGACAGTGTGCGAGCTGGGGAGGGGCAGAGAGAGAGGGAGACACAGAATCCCAAGCAGGATCCAGGCTCTGTCTGAGCTGTCAGCATAGAGCCCGACACAGGGCTCGAACTCACAGACCTCGAGATCACAACCTGAGCTGAAGTTGGATGCTTAACTGACTGAGCCACCCAGGTGCCCCTGTTTTATCAGGATTTTAAAAGTTCTTATTCAAATGATTAATTTTCTTACCTTCGCATTTACTGAAATACATAAAATGAATAGTATTTATATGCTTAAAAGGGACATCTTCAGAAAGTACTTTCTAGTTAAGTGTCAAGTTTGAATAACATTAAACTAATTAAGTCCTTATTCGTGAAAACCTTTGAGTTTTAAAGATTTTTTTTTCACATTTTACATGTGAAGAAAAAAATAACAACAATGCTGAAAAATGACAAAGATGTAAGAACTAAATTTAGGCCTCATTCGGCATTTATTTACTTCCAGGATCAAAAGGCTCATAAATAGATAAATTTCACCTTCCTTCAATACAGATATCTTTAAACCAAAGTTTTTTCATATATTACTGTAATATAAAATTGTGTGTCCAATTAATTTTCTAAATCTATGGTAATATTCTCAAATGTGAGTACTAAAATAATCTTTAAATTTATAGAATTTCACGATTATGCATTTGCTTATTTTATAAAAAGTTCAATTACAGACTGCTTTTAAATTCTTACTAGTTCTACAAATATCAGTTAAGTATTTTTTGCAATATAGCTAAAGGGTTAACAAAAATTTCTTCCATTTTAAAAACAAAATACCTTTCTTGACCTTGTACATCCATTTTATTTTGGCCTTTACAGCAAGCAATTTTGAAAATGTAACCTTGACTCCATTGTACTTCATCTCCAATTCTCTTACTAGCTCACGCTTGTCTCTCTCCATCATGCCACTACACTGCTTGTGCTAAGGTCTCAATTTGTAACTGACAAAGCCAAGAGACATTTTTTAGTACCTCCCTTTGGCATGTGAGACAACAATCACAAACCCTCAAAACTTTCTACTTTTCCTTCAGAATTATTACTCTGTTATCTGCAATATGTTCCAGTTTCTGTGTTCCTGGTTAAATAGACTTGTATATTATGGTATATATTTATCACAAACAGAATTTTTACAAAAAATTTAATGAAACCAGAAGTATCCCCCAAATCTTTTGTTTCACACAGCAGTTTGCTGGTTATGTGGTAACAAAGCACTTAAAAACAGTTAATAAACTTAAACATAAATTATACATTTTAAACAAAATCTCTAATATTCTAAATTTGCTTACTTTCTCTTTAAATGAAAGGTGGCTATATTACATTTTCTAGCAAATGTTATAAAATCTTTTCTTCACAAGAAATGTATTTTGACAACAAATGTGAGAATGCTTTTTGAAAGGAACTCATGTTATATAGAAAGCATTTTGAAAAAATGCTGATTATTGCCAAAAATAAATGAATTAGTAAAATTAATAAAACTAATGAAAACACTTACATATCAGCATACTTCAAAAAGTTGGAGAGCAAACTTTAATCTGGTCTTAAATCTATCAAACAAAGAATTTAAGTAGATTTTGAACCTATTATAAACTTTTTTTTTCCTTTTTTTTAGTTTTCCCCCCAGGCCCCTTCCTAAACTTTCAAAAACAAACTTTCCAATTAATTTGTAGGAATAAATACCTGAGATCAGGAAAGATAGCAATTACTAGCAGATGTCAACAAGAACCTCTGAACTATTAGTAGACAGAATTGAAAAAGTATCATGATTTAGTAAATAAAGCCCATGTTATACCTCTTTCATTTGGAACCATGTTATCTTTATGAGCTATCTTTTCAACTATGACAGCTATTAAAATCAAATATTCAAACAACTTCACACAATTCCTTTATTATTACATATTTTAAATTATTATGTTTCACCTATGAGACTGCAAGTTAGCTAAAAGTGGAGACTGTCTTCATCTTTGTAACCTAGAACTTTGACTATATGACATACAGCAAATAATTATGCAATATGCTGTGTGAATGAATAATGAAAAATATAGGCAAGTACATTAAAATGAAAATATGTACACACATGCATATTTATGTAATAGTGTAATACCTGGTTAGGTAAACAAGTGTTACCTAAAATGGGCATGGCCACAAATCACAACGTTTGCACACCAATTTAATGGTATTTAATGGCTCAACTTGTAATTATGACTTTTTGTTTGTGTAATTATGACTTCCTTAATTAGCATATGTTTTCATAAATGAAGATATCAGAGTTGTCCTACACAATATGTGAGAATCTGCTTTCAAAGTGAATCATCAGTGATATAAAGAATGAATATATAAAATCAACAAAAATAAAGTGAAACCAACAGAAGAACTTTTTCCGTAACACAACAATGAATAAAAGACTCAGCACAAATGAAATAGTGAAAGTATCAAAACTTAGATTTTCCAAATAACAAATTAGAAATAAAACCCAAATAACACTATATTTAAGACTCAGTTTATATCCACTAATCTCATTAAGAATGTGATAGCTACTCTGAATCATTTTTACCATGGTACAAATGTTTCTTTCATGCCATATTAAACAAAATTTAACAATAAATCATATAATTATTAATATAAATATTTCCCAATACTAAATTATACTCAGTCCTCTATGGTAGTTAAAGGAGCCCACATTACAATTTTATTTGAAAAAAATTAGATGTTCACACAAAATAATATTCTATTAGCATCTTTAATTCTAATTGAATCTTTAAAAGAGAAAAATAAGGAAAATAAAAGAGAACAAAAGCTGTTCCCAAAAAAGAATTATGATCCCATATATATGTAATTGTGTATCTGCTGATAAACGTAATAAATTGCTAATGATAACAGGAATTTTTATATTAACTACATTCAGAAAAAATTTTTTTCCTTATAAAAGCTGAGATACAGATTAAGTGAAACTTAAACTGAATTTTGCGGATGAAATCTATCCATCTTCTGTGTCCAAAATATATCTAGCGTCTCTTTTCTTAAAATGCATTGAAAAGGCCATATAGAGCTACAGAATAGAAAATGTACAAAATGGAACGTGTGTTAAATAAAGCAGTACTTCTTTAACAAAGGGTATCGCAGTTTTTCTTTTTCAGAAACATTAAACATCCTGGAAAACTTTCTCCCTCGTTCTAAGGTTTACAGTAATCTTAATTATGTAAGTTTGATGCTATCTAAAAACGTATCCATGTTCTATTGATCGTACTCTAATAGTGCTTAAGAAGAAAAAAGCAGCTATACTACTTAAAAGATCAAAAATAAAATAAAATCACCAAAGTCAAATTTAGAAACCAAACTATCTCACTGATACCTACCTCCTGGAAATGCCATTCGCTAGACATTTATGGCTACAGGATTTGGAGGATAGGGGTGATGAAGTTGGGGACAAGTTGAGAGGGGCAATCAGACTGTTGATGATTTCCGTCAACTGTGCACTCTGCAAGAAAACAAGTAACCTTTTACTACTGCTAAGCAAGACATGTGAGTTAAGTCTCACACCTTTAGCACCTACTAAATGCTTGACTTTTCATGAAACAAGTAAATGCTTATATTTTAGTAAATATTTTAATCTCCAAAGATGATTTATGTCACTATTAATTTTTCCATTTATTGTAAGTATGTTCACATTTTAAAGTAGTCCTTTACCATATCCATTTTTGTTACAGGTCATTTATCTACTCATCCTATCCTCTTAAAACATTTGAATTTAGCTAATAGCATCTACAAAATATTTCCTTTGAGGCAGCCAAGTTAATAATAACAAAGTCATAGCTATAATTTATGAAGTACCTACTATGTGCCAGGCACTATACAAAGCACTAAACAGATTATTTCTAATCTTTACAATTAACCTGCAAAGTAATTAGTATTAGAACTACTGATATTGGGGCGCCTGCGTGGCGCAGTCGGTTAAGCGTCCGACTTCAGCCAGGTCACGATCTCGCGGTCCGTGAGTTCGAGCCCCGCGTCAGGCTCTGGGCTGATGGCTCAGAGCCTGGAGCCTGTTTCCGATTCTGTGTCTCCCTCTCTTTCTGCCCCTCCCCCGTTCATGCTCTGTCTCTCTCTGTCCCAAAAATAAATAAACGTTGAAAAAAAATTTAAAAAAAAAAAAAAAAAGAACTACTGATATTACTATTAAAATCAACTACAGCTGAGGAAATTGAAGCTTGAGCAAGGATTATAAAGTTGGTAAGAAATTCAGGCTTGAATCCAATGCCACACTGTTTCTCAATATTTTTCCTAATTCAAAAATATCAGGGTATTTTTAGGTACTCCAAATTTTCATTGACCCTTACTCCAAATTTAAATATACATAATATATTTGTAATATGTGATAAATATTAAATTATCCTAAAACAATAACCTACAACAATTACAATAAACATAGGCCACGTCAGTGGAAACAGTACGTTTCTACAGAAGAATGACAACTATTTTCATTACATATGTAATCTGTGTTTATTGTAGAAAAAGGGAAAGTATAGAGGGGCTTAAAAAGGGAAAAGAAATTCTCTTGCATTCATATTTCACAGAGTAAAAACACTGCTAATATCTTGGTATATATCCATCCCTCTAGACTAAGTTTTCTGAGTATATGTGAGTAAATACAACACACATACACACACACACACACACACACACAGTTCTAATTTAATCGTGTCACATCAATTTTCTAAAACCTGGTTTTCTCACTTACTAATGTATGATTTTATTGTTTTAAATATGTAGACCTGTGTCACCATTTTTATTAACTGAAAGATATTCCATTATAAAATAGAGGGGCACATAAAATAATTATTTTAAATTTTTCATTTGTATGAAACTAATAACATACTATTAGAAATAATGAAACTAAAGAATAAAATAGAACTAAATCTAATATTTGAATTCTTCAAAAAATCTTTGAAAAGGACCCTGAAAATTTTTTACCATTTATTTTCTTAAAAAGTAATACATACCAAATGACTTCATTTTAAAAATTATCACTCATTTTTCAATTAAAGCTCATTTTCAAAATCAGTACAAATTCAGTCTTTATCCACTTGGTAAGCATTCATTAGTTTAGTCATACAAAGAAATTTATAAAGTATCCCATATTTTTCAGTCCAAAACACTGATACACTCTTTTCAATGTTCCACTGCCAAAAATATCATTAAAAATCTAAGCCCCTGGAGGTAACCAGTTAGGTACGTGTGAATAATTGGCTCAAAAGAACATTATAACAACCAACTCAATCCAGCCCGATAAAAATCACAAATATCTGAGTCCATGTTTGGGATAAGAAATTCATAATAAAAATGAGAAAAAAGTAAAATTAGGAGAGGCATAATTTAAACTCTTAAGATAAAAACTAATCAACTCAAAGTTAAAACACTTACTAGCTATTGGATAACAAGGTTTTTAATGTAAATACACCAGTTTGAAATTTAAATTACCTAAAGTTCTAAAATAAAGTTACCTTTTAATTTATGAATAAAATACATTATCTAATAATGCAAGTATACATTAATATTATAGACCAGTAAGTTGCTTTTTAAAACTCATATCAGTGTACAACTTAATAGTGCCTTTAGTATTTTAATTGCCAACCCTTTCATTGTTTTGAGATACATAAATAAATTTTGTTTGGGAAGCGAACATTTCTCTAATAAAATTAATTCAGGTAAGTCATCAATACCGGATCTATATTCAAGGTCCACTATAGTCAACAAACAGTTATATACCAACAGGTTATCTTAAGAAAAATGTGTGTAGTATCAGGGTTGCCAGACCTGCCACTTAATTCTCATCCCTCTTCAGCAGCATTTGTAAACAATTTTTTAATTAACTACGAAAACATTATTAGCATATGTTTCAAGAGCAAATGACCTGTTCATAGGCAACTTACTAACGACCTCTACAAGAGATTGCTGGTGTCCCTTTCTGTATCCTTTTGCTCTACTCTTCCTATACCTAAAGCCATTACCATTGTTCTCACAACTCCCGGTTCCCTTCTCTTCCAAAGCCTCTGGCACTCCTGTCAGCAATGGGACCAAAAATAAACATGTGATACCCAGGGTCAACTTCATGGGTGAGCAACCTGAGCAGTCACACAAGGCTGCACTCAGAAGGGTGCCATGCTTGCTTAATGCCCTGCTGCTACTGACTTAAAACTCTTCAAAATTGTTTTTAACAAAGAGCTATGTGATTTCATTTCTCACTAGACCCTGTAAATTAGCCCATTCTGATATTATTAACTCAGGTCTAACAAAACAAATCGGTGCTAACAAGGAGAAAAAAAAATATTAAAAGAATCTCTTTTCAAAGGATAAATAATGAACTACAGGTAAAAAAAATAAAAACGAAAACAAAAAAACAGAAGACCTGACTGACCAAGCAAGTACATTATTCTGGAGTGAGAAATAATTAGGGCCAAACTGAAAGGGTAGTAATCCTATGGGATGAGAGAGAAAAGAGAGTAAAGTGGGAACATAAGCAACACTACTGAAAACACCACCTATCTGGTAAAGTGCATTCCAATTTAATATCAGATGATTATAAAATAACTTTCTGAATTACAAAATAGTCATAAAAGTAGTTTGATTATGCAATTCTGCAATTAAGGAAAACTCTAGGCAACTGTAAATGCAACAAATATGGGGGAAGAGGCGTTGCACCATACCCTGATTTACCGGAAATAAAATAGTAGTAACCTAATACTAAATTATTTCACAATATATGTCAGAAAAACTTAGAAAAATTAGATGTGGGCAGGCATGAATCCACATTACCCACTGGAACAAGGTAATCATGCAGCTGTGATCCCAACTGGGTAGATTCCAGCAGATTCAGATCAGCTGCAAGTTAACAAACTCCTAGAAAGTCAGGTTTGTTCAAAAGCCACCAATGTCTAAATAAAAATAAATGGTATGATTTTAAAGGATAGATACAGGAAAAAATAATTAGACTTCTAGAGTCAACCATAATAGAATTTAAATATCAGGAAAGGCTTTAGAATCAAAGTAATTTGTTAGGGGCTAATTTGCCATTTATTTACATGACCTTTTTTAAATAAAGGAACTCATATTCTGATATCTTTCATTAAAAATCTCTATCAATAAATTGATCAAACAACTATTCAGATTCAGATCTATTAAGTGGTATCACTCCTCTTTCCCCAGGAAAGAAAAGTCCAATGATGAGCAATTTTGTTAGAAAAAAAGATTTTCCAATCCTTGCATAAATGAGTTATCCTATGGCTATGTACTAATACTTTGTATACAATATGTAAATAATCTTAATTCTATCAATATTATAAGAGAGACCAGTCACATACTAAATATTTTAACTATATTTAATGTCAAATGGCAAACTTTAATAACCAAGATCCCAAGCAGACACACAGGTTTATTTGAAGAGTTCATAAAATTGATTAAAAGTCATTTCGTGCCACTCCCATCTTACTCTTACTTCACATTACCTGTTTTTCTATGTTGCGAAGAAGAAGTGTAGGACTACTTGGTGACATTTCAAAATCTTGTTCTGGTAAAGGATCTTGACTCTCTTGGGGAATCTGGGGATTCCCTGTCGTATTTAATGAAGCCGCTTGGTCAGCAAATTGTATTTGTTTTTTCAGAATGTCTTTTGGAAGCTGACATTCTTCTAGGATCACTATCCCCTAGGCAAACAGCAATTAAAGAGTTGAAATGAAAACAAACTGACTGCTAAATCAATTTTAATGTTACAATGCACATGAAACCATGCTTCTCATTATTGCTTGGAAATCAGAAAGCACACTTGAAAGTACAGTCTAACTGTAAAAACTTGGCTGATTTAAAACATGTGTACCTAAAATAAAATGTATGTCTTAAGGGTTAGGTTTGTGAAATATTGTCATAAATTGTATACATGCAATTATTTTTCCTTTTATTGGTTTTAGTTATTAGCAGTAAAAAGCATGACACATTTAAAATAAAGGCTTATACATAGAATGTGAATATTTCACGCTGAAATTTGGAACACTTCCTGATACAGTCTTCGAGTATTTTGGTAGCTAGCATTTCCATTTGAGTTTTATATTTGAGTACTCCCAGCTTCATAAATTAAAGTACCAAGCTTACAAGCATCCAAACAACATTCTGACTTTGTACTAACTTCTTTCCGAGCACTCTAAGGAGTTCCAACTCTGCTGCTGCCAGCAAGCAACAAAGGGCAGGACTGCACTATTGAGAAAAAGTACTCTCAAGGCCACACTAGTGCTTACTAGATAGATGAGTTAATAATACAGGCACAAGTTTTCAACTGTGCTGCGGTATTTTCTGAAATGTAAGAAACTAGAAGAAAGAGTAGGGATCTAGCTGCCTCTGTCCTCCCTGCCTACCATTCACACACACACGTATACTTACTCACAACTGGCTTGCTAAATATTCTCCCATATTCCCCAGATTCTTCACTCCAACTGTTCTCACCCTTAGGCCCCTCAATGGCAATGAAGACAGAAGAGAAAGGGGAAAAAGAATGCACAGAGATGATCTCAACAGTTTCATAATCAGTTCTCACCGTAAAACTTTTTCCCTCCCTACCGCTTCTACCACTTCCCCCCCTACAAAGAATAATATATATTTTCACATAATGTATAAATGTGTGTGTATATGGTTGTATATATGTATACTTGTATATTAATGGTTGTATACACACACACACACATATGTGGTTGTTTTGCAAAATGCCAATAAGCTCCTAATAGGCTAGATAAGTATTAAATGGCTATGTGGCTGAAATATTCTTGTAATGAAAAGCCAACTAAAACACTAATATAAGTACAGTAGTTCATGATGGAAATTTAAAAAAAAACTGTATAGGCCAGCTTATATCATGTATAAGTGCTATTTATAGGATGGAAACAGCCTATAAATTACAATGTTATATATGGATAGTTTCAATTTACACCTTAATTTGGAGCATATATCACTGTAGCATGAACACATTCAGGTATGCTATCAAACATACATTTTATTATTTTGTAGCAATATATTACCACTGATGTGTGGTAAAAGTAACAAGTAAGTTATCATTATTTTTAAACTACACTTCCAACAGTGCTAGTAACTTTTACAAAGAGAAGGAGATCCAGTTGTTGATCCCATCTCAATAACTATTGTCCTAGAATGCACAGATATGGCTATCAAGAAATCTGAAGAAATATATTTTTGAAAAATTTTTGTTTCATTTGATATTTTTAAAGTTAAAGTAGACTTGATAGAGGATCATCAATCTCAAAAGCTCTTGACTGAAAGTATCTGAAATGTCATTCAAAATTTGTAAAAGCGTCTCACCAGATTTTTCAACAGTATCTGCTTGTAAAACAAATACAAATTTTCATCATATCAATGTAGCTATAATTCCCATTGGTTTGATTATTTTATGAGCCAGGCTGCTGTGAATTAGCCTGTTTTCATAACCCTTACTAATAATCTTGTACATATGGAAAAACTGATCCTGAATTTCAAAAGATCAATTTTTGAACCTTTAGAATACTACCTATTTAGAAGTAGGAAACTTGCTACAATTAGTTCAATGAAAAGTAATATTTTAAAAATTCAACCAGGAAGACATCTGTAATAAGGTCATAATCTATTGTTTTCCCCCTTAAACTGTTGCCCTGGACAAAACTCTCACAATGGCCGAGAATAGAGTAAAAAGGGAAGAAGATTATATCCTTTGAAGACACTACAGAGATAGTTTCAGTTCTTAAAAATCAGGAAAAGAATACAGGTGTGTTGGGTCACCATGATGTACACTTAAATATCTTAAAATTTTATTTGTCAATCATACCTGAATAAAGCTGAATTTTTAAAAAACTCAGAAAAAGAATAGTCTAATCATAGAGAAAACAAGGTAAATAACAAAGATATGAAATGTTTTAGTGGGATGAGTTGCAATGACTGAGACCCATGAAAACTCTAGCATAAGATGAAAGCAAGTAAACCTCACCAGAAGACAACTATTCCTGATATGAACACTTGAAGAGATCCTTACCCAGCAACTAGGTTTAGTGAAAAAATAATTAATAGCTTCAACATCATCATCAGTATTTATATAAAGTCATGAAAGCTAAGATTTTAAAAAAATTTAAATGAAAAATTTTAAATACACAAAATTACAATGTAAAATATAGATAACAAACGAAATCTAAAAGAGAAAACATTTAATATAGGCTAACCAACTTCTCAACCAAGAAAAACTATTTTAATTTTTTTCTGAAAGTGATGAGAAGCTACTGTCTTAGTGAAAGCTGAAGGAAAGAAAAGGAGAAACATGGAAGTTGTAATGTGTTGACAAAGTGTTGGAAGAACAAGGAAGGAATGTTGCTAACATGTGCTTTCTTCTTTCTAAAGATTTAGCAAAAGTTAGACTACCCCCAGTGTGTCAAAGAAGAGGCAAATGGCAGCTTAAAGACCTAAAATGTGGGGCGCCTGGGTGGCTCAGTCGGTTGGGCGTCCAACTTCGGCTCAGGTGGTGATCTTGCAGTCCGTGAGTTCAAGGCCTGCGTCGGGCTCTGTGCTGACAGCTCAGAGCCTGGAGCCTGTTTCAGATTCTGTGTCTCCCTTTCTCTGACCCTCCCCCGTTAATGCTCTGTCTCTCTCTGTCTCAAAAATAAATAAAAGTTAAAAAAAAAAAAAAAACCTAAAATGTTTAGATCTACTAGTAGATCTCAGTGTTTCCTGCCCTGTTTAAACAGGATATTTACAAAAGAATATCTCTAGATCTCTTTCCCCTCCCCTTATCTCTAATTTAACTAAGAAAGGATTTTTTTTCACTTTCAAGGTAAGTTAAATAGAAAGTTCCTTCAAAATAACTTAGCCACATGCTTCTCAATTTTTTAATTACAGTAATTCAAGAAGCCAGAAGAGCAAAGAAAGTGCAGTTTTCTCTATTCAGTATAATAATTTAACTACACTACACATAAATAAGCAACTACACACCTTGATTTCCAAGAAATGTAAGAAGAAACTATTAAAAGAAATATTGTAGTGACTTTTCCATAAAGTAAACATAACGTGATCCTTAAGAAAACAAAGGGCCAGATACACATCTAGCCTGAACTAAGAAAAATATAAATTATTAGTGGGAAGTTTAGATTTCTTTCCTAAAAATAATTTATCCCAATAGATGACATAATCAAAATTTAAAAATGTTTAAACAAGTATATAGCACTGTTTAGAACACACAAAACATTAAAACACCAATGAACCAGACTATGTAGATTCAAGTATGAAACTTAGTAATCAATTTTACTAGGAATCTACTTTCTTGGAAATTTCCTAATCGGTATAAACTTGACTTGTTCTAAGAACTCTATTTACTATAAAAATGCCTGTGATATTATTTCCTTTAAAGAAAATGATCAGAAAGGATAAATTATCTGGTAATCTGAAAGAATTGGGAAATTACTGAAGGTTTCGGTGAAGACAGTTAAGAAACAGTAACGACTTCCATCAGGAAACTATTCTTGAAGAAAATTCTCCCAAATCCAACAGAGAGAACAGGTAAGCCTAAGGGTTTAAAGTCTATCCTCCTATTCACCTTCCTACAGACAATCGACAAATTATGCAAGGAATTCAATAACATTCATTCATTCATTCCTAGTTTCCTCTCCCATCCTTGTGCAACTCATACTTTCTGCTCCTTTGAATTTTCATTCTACTTTGTAAATTCCAAAACATATCATGTTGTTTCATACCATCAGACCTTCAAGGAATGCCCTTTTCCAGTTCCATTGGTTCAAGCAAACTATTTATCCTCCAAAACCATACTGAGGCATCACCTCTTTGCTGATGTTTTCTCTGACCTGCTAACCCCTAAATAAGAGTTATGCATTCTCTCTATGGCACTTCTATATCTTATTAAAAACATGTATCAGTGCACATATTACCTTATATTGCAATTAATTATTTACATGGTCTCTCTCCCCTACCAGAATGTAAACTCACGATAGTACCTAAAACTTACTAGTCTTTATTTACATACAGACTCTTGGTACCATTGGGCTAACCATATGAGTAAACATGTCGTTAAGAGCTCTGATTCCTTTCCTTCTCAGCTTTTTCTTTTCAGACCAAAAACCATCAACCTTACAATATTATCTCCATAATGTCCACAGTTTCACTATGTAGAATACAGTTTCCCATAAAAACAAAGCTACAAAGAGATATTTAGGAATATTTAAATTAAATAGTACTTGATGGGATTGTATAAGAACTCCTCATATTATTATTTCAATGGAAAAATATACTTTGAGTTCCAAGCAAAAGCCTGTAATTTTGGGGGAAAAATTTTGGTTGGAATTAAAATAACATTTATATGTGTAATCATCTGTGTAATTTCACCCCCATTTGACCTCAACCCTAAAAATTTAAGAACTCTGTGCGTTTTGTTCTTCACTGTGTACCTTAAGCACACATTACGCTAATAAGTATACGTGAAAGCAAAGATGGGAAAGAATGAAGGAAAGGCAGAGGGAAGGCAGAAGATAAGACAGGATGGAGAGATGAATGAATTTTATTTAAAAACTGATACAGGGGCGCCTGGGTGACTCAGTCAGTTAAGCATCCAACTTCAGCTCAGCTCATGCTCTCACGGTGCATGAGTTCAAGCCCCACATCAGGCTTTCTGCTGTCAATGTAGAGCCTGCTTCGGATCCTCCCCCCCCCACCCCCCCACCACCCCTACCCCTCTTGTTCTTGCGCTCTCTCTCTCTCATAAATAAACATTAAAAAATAAGTTAAAAATAAATTTTTAAAAAAATAACAAAAAGTAAAAATTGATACAATAACATAGCTTTAAGTGCCATTTCTACTAAAGTAACTCCAAATCTGTATCTTCCTATAAACTTGCCTTTTCCAATAACTCATATTTCCAAGTCTTTCAGGACATCTCAACATGAGTTATCTGATAGAACTTTAAAGTCAATGTGTGAGAAAGCTTACTTTTATCAATTTTCCTATAAAACAAGCACTTTTCTCCAATAACTAATGGGGGAAGAGATAATGGTGATGGTTATGCAACTACCTATTTGTCAAAATTCAGTGAATTGCTAAAAATGTGTCTTCTGAGAACAGATAAAATAGAAATAAATCCATAATTAGACACCTATTGGTAAAAACATGTAGACCATCAAATATACAAAAACAGCTTTTAAGTTACCAGATAGACTGCTCAGCAGAAAACAGTGAAATAGGATCTTTAAAGGACGAAGGGAAAAGAACCATCATATTAGAATTTTATATCAACCTGAAGTATCATTGACGAGTGAGGGTAAAATGAAGGTACTTTGAGATAGAAGCCACTAAAGAATGTATTTCAGCAAAATGTAAACCGAGAGAAAAGGGAATGTAGCAGAGACTACAACAATCTATATTCATTTTCCCCTTTTTTTTAGAACCAAACTCCACACCTACTGGATTTTTAGCTATGCCTACAACTTCTCATTGTAAGACTGTACTGTTCACCTTTCCCTGCTACATATCTAGCTGCAGCCATGTGCCTAAATCTAGGCCAATGAATGTGGGACAAAGTAGTGCAATTTCCAAGTCACCTCCAACTTGAAAACAAACAATGCTGCACTTCTCTTCTCACTTCCCAAGGGCCAGAATGAGGAGGTGACCACAACCCTGTTTAATAGTGCCATCACCACTACTCTAGAGGATAGCAGAGCAGCAAGACAGAAAAGACCACAGCCTGTATTCACTCCCTCGGTTATGAAGTGTTATGTATTGCATAAAGCTGCGATATTTCTCAGTTTCTTTGCTACAGCAGCTTAATCTGTAAACTAGCTTTATAGGGAGAACACAAAAGAAAAGTAAGCACATTTTTAATAAAATTAGTTAGAAACAGAATTAATTACCGACCGTAAAAAAGCAACTACATTGAGTAGACATATGCAATGAGTAGTTAAATAACATTAGAATCCATGTTTTAAGTAAAAATATGAAATACTGAGTACTTTTAGTCATTGTTAGGATTATTTATAGTTAAGTATGTTAAAAATTGGGAGTAATAACAAAGAATAAACCTGTACTGAATAGCTTTTAAACCAGCATAGGGAAAAGAAAGGAATGAAGCAAATTCTACCAATCCAAAAAGGTGAAAAAACAAGATAGAGGGTGTCTTGAACCTGGGTGGCTGAGTGAGTTGAGAGCCCAACTCTTGATTTTAGCTTAGGTCAGGATCTCACGGTTCATGGGTTCAAGCTCCTAGTCAGGCTCTGTGCTGACAGCTGACAGTGTGGAGCCTGCTTAGGATTGTCTCTTTCCCTCTCTCTCTGCCCTTCCCCTGCTGGCACATGTGCTCTCATGAACTCTCTCTCTCTCAATATAAATAAATACACTTAAAAAAAAAGAAAGAAAGAAAACAAGATATAAATACAAAGAGAGGAGAATAAGGGCAAATAAAAAATAAAAACCAGAGTCGGTTTTTAAAAAAAAATTTTTAACGTTTATTTATTTTTGAGAGAGACAGATAGAGTATGAGCTGGAGAGGCGCAGAGAGAGAGGGAGACACAGAATCCGAGCTATCAGCACAGAGCCCAACGTGGGGCTCAAACTAACAAACCATGAGAACATGACCTGAAGCAAAGTTGGCCACTTAACCCACTGAGCCACCCAGGCACCCCAGAGTCAATTTTTTAAATCTAGCTATTTATAGTTTATAAAAAGAAACACCTAGAATTATCAAAAATTTGTATCTACCAAGCAGCATTACTTCAAAATGTAAGAGGCAAAAACTAACAATTACCAGAAGAAACTGAAGAATTCACAATGAGAAATTTTAACAAATCTATATCATTAATGGAAAGATATAGAGGTATAAAGATATAGCAGATATATAAAGTCAACAAATTAACAAAGAATTCTATAATGAACACACAAAGAACACGCATTATTTTCTATTATATATATATTAAAATTGGAAAAAAACCACAACATGAGAGATGTGTAATATTCATAATTGACCACATTAGTCTCCAAAATTTAAAAATAATTCACGAACACATACCTCTACCAACTACCCTCCCCCCAAAAAAAGAGTGAATGCAAAAAATAAGTTAATTCTTAGACAAAAAACATTTGATGGTCAATTACACTGAGGTCCAAATCTCTATAGTAAAGAACAGTTAGATTAAAACAGTAATAAAATAATATTTCATACTCATTACACTGGAAAAATTAAGAGGTTAAAAATTATGAAATGTTGGCAAGGATGTGAAGAAATATGAGGTCTCATGCACTGCCATTGGGAAAATTCATTACCCAATCACATCAGTAAGTACAGGAAAGCTGAAGATAGCCAGGCCTAAGATCCAGCATTTCCACTTTTAGGCATATACCAAGAACTCTTTTTTGTTCACAAAAAAACACATAGAAGACAGTCATTACAGTATTGTTTTTACTGGCATAAAACTAAACAATGTATATGTCTATCAATAGAAAACAGGAGAAGAGATAGAACATTCCATTGTACTCATACAATTCCATCACATTCATACAATTAAATAACATGCAGGATCTATAAAATGTAAAATTTATGCTGAGCAAAAACAAGCAGGTCACAAAAAAGTTTGTAGTATATATATCATTTATATAGACTTTAAAAACAGAAAACTTGGGGTGCCTGGGTGGCTCAGGTGGTTAAGCATCTGACTTCGGCTCAGGTCATGATCTCACGTTTCATGGATTCGAGCCCCGCGTTGGGCTGTGTGCTGACAGCTTGGAGCCTGGAGCCTGCTTCGGATTCTGTGTCTCCCTTTCTCTCTCTCTGCCCCCACCCCAGCTTGTGTTTTTTTTTTCTCTCTCTCTCATAAACAAAATTTTTTTTAAATAAATAAATAATTTTAAAAACATGGAAAATAGTAGTTGTAGACACAGACATCTATGTGCCAATAATATAAAAACATACATAAAAATAATAAATATCAAAACATGTTGGAGTCAAAATATTGGCTACAGTGGCATGGGGAAAGAGAATGGGATCAGGAAGGACTATCAGGACCTCAACTGAAAAGTATCTCAAGTAGCTGAACTGCTCATCGCGATAAATAAAAAGGCATGATAGTGATAGCTTCAACTTATAGCAACTGACATATCAAAAATGTTAATATTAACTACATTTTTATAAAGTCTTATAATAATTCCTTTGTGTGGAGAGATGAGAAACTAAAACAGTAATAATATTTTTAAAAATACAAGAATACAGACAATACCTTGGAGGCACGAATCTGCCTGTGAACATCCGTTAGCTGTTGGATTTTGTATTCTAGCTCTGAAATCTGGGCTTGAAGCCATGTCCATCGGCTGCCAACTCTTGCTCTGTCTACAAGCCACTTCCATTCAGTACTACAGTTACTGTGAATAAGACAAACACTGTTAGTCAAGGCACAAAGACAATCAAATTTTCACAGACTAAATAAATTCCTGGACTCCTGTCATATAATCCCCAATTCCTTTATAAAACATCTAATTACATGCAAGAATTACGTATCAACTTATCAAAGAAAAAGCTTTAACTTCCTTATCTTTCTATCCCAACGAATGCTTGCTTTTATTATTACATACCCAGTAATAAGATCATCTCTTCTGTTACTTAATACTTTATTAATGCACAAGGGCTGAAACAGAAGTGGGCCAGCAAAGGAAAGGAAACAGGAATGATACTAATAACACATAAAGACTTACATGAAGTTTTTATATGTAAACAGAAGTACTAGAAGTACAGTCATTTGAACTGTACTAGATCTAAATCTATGTAACAAATGTAACAAACCACAGCAATTTTATTATATGCAATTTTCATTCACTAAAACAGTGGTCATTGTTAGCTAAATACCTAAACTCAATTTAAATATATTGTCAAAAAATACCAAAAATATGCCCTACATTTCAAATAAGCCTACCAAATACATAAGTCCTGGGATGTTTATTAAGGTTAACAGTATGTTAAAACCTGATTCTCAGGATTCAGAGACCAAAGATAATAAGGAATTTATATAAAAGGGGCGTCTGGGTGGCTCTGGGTGGCTCAGTCGGTTAAGCGTCTAACTCTTGGGTTTCAGCTCACGTCATGATCTCACTATGTGAGTTTGAGTCCCACGTCAGGCTCTAAGCTGGCAGTGTAGAGTCTGCTTGGAATTCTCTCTTCTCTCTCTGCCCCTCCCCTACTCCCTGTCTCTCAAAAATAAATATATGAACATTTTTTTAAAAAAAATTACATAAAGACTTTCTTTCAGGCATATTTGAAAATAAGGGTTGAACCCTAGCTCCTCTACCTTTGAGCAAGGGCACTGCCCTAACCGATAGTTTGTGAGATTACAGTTAATTGTCTTTATGAAAATATTCCAACTAGAAAACAATTATTTGGGATTAGACTAATTAGGAGCTTCAGATTGCAAAGGAAAACATGACAGAAATTGAAGATATACATGAAAAGCAATAAATAATGGCAGAATACAAACTTTATGAAAATTGCTTAAAAATTCCATTTACAGTCAAAACTCATAGAATGTACAACACCAAGAGTGAATCCTAACATAAAGAACTAACTGATAACAATTTGTTCACGTACGTTCATAGACTGTTACAAATGAACTACGCTGGTTTGCCGTGTATTGATAGTGGGGGAGGTTCTATCAGTGTAGGGATGGGGGTATATGGGAACTCTCTGCATTTTCTGCTCAAATTTTCTGTGAACCTAAAACTGCTCTAAAAAAATAAAGTTTATTAATTTTTACATATTTAACCATAATTGAATTGAATGTCTTCCATACACACTTTAACCAGAGTAAATATTTCTTCTAAAGATCATTTGTTAGGGTGCCTGGCTGGCTTGGTTGGTAAAGTGTGCTATTTTTGATCTCAGGGTTGTGAGTTTGAGCCCCATGTTGGGTGTGGAGATTAAAGTCTTTAAAAATAATAAAAATAAAATTAAGCAAATAAAAGATCATTTGTTGTGATGAGTGTGTCATATGTAAGTGCTAAATCACTAAACTGTATATCTGAAACTAATATTACACTGTATGGTAACTAACTGGAATTTAAATAAAAACTTAAAAAGAGGGGCAGCTCGATGGCTCAGTCAGTTAAGCATCTGACTGTTGGTTTTGGCTCAGGTTACAATCTTACAGTTGATGAGTTTGAGCCCTGTGTACTGGGCTCTGTGCTAATAATGCAGAGCCTGCTTGGGATTCTGTCTCTCTGTCTCTTCTCCGCTCATTCTCAGTCTCTCTCAAAATAAATAAATAAGCTAAAAACAATAAATAACTTAAAAATAAATTATCATTTGTTGTCAGAGAAACAATACAATCATTACAACTTTACTATATAGAATATATTTATTATAACAGGATTTTACATTAAATTAATGTTCCTAAAGAGCTGTTTTTGTTAAGATTCCAACTGCATACAATATGATTGAGGAGACCTTCATATAAGTTAGGAATTCTCTTGGTATCATTATTTATGCAGTTTGTAGTCATTATTCTGCTTCTGTAAATGACACCCTTTTAAATCATATTTTCATAATTATGAAAACAACAAAAGAGAATGTCTATTCAAAATAATATTTATATAGAGGCACCTGGCTGGTTCAGCTGGAGGAGGATGCGACGCTTGATCTTGGGTCGTGAGTTCGAGCCCCACGTTGAGTGTAGAGATTACTTAAATAAATAAATTTAGAAATATATAATATTAGCTCTTCCCTTTTGCAGCCATTGCTGAAGCACCAGCAGCCAAAATGAAGTTCAATCCCTTTGTGACTTCCGACAGAAGCAAAAATTGCAAAAGGCATTTCAATGCATCTTCCCACATTCACAGGAAGATTATGTCTTCCCTTCTCTCCAAAGAGCTGAGACAGAAGTACAAGTTTCGATCCATGCCCATCCAAAAGGATGATGAAGTACAGGATGTGTGAGGACACTACAAAGGTCAGGAAATTGAAAAAGTAGTTCAGGTTTATGGGAAGAAATACATCATCTACACTGAATGAGTACAGTGAGAGAAGGCAAACGGCACACCTGTCCAGGTGGGCATCATCCTAGCAAGGTGGTTATCAGTAGACCAAAAGTGGACAAAGATCACAAAAAGATCCTTGAACATAAAGCCAAGTCTCGCCAAGTAGGAAAGGAAAATGGCAAATTAGAAGGAAGAAGCAACTGAGAAGATACAGGAATAAAGTAATCTTATATACAACTTTAAATAAAAACTGTTAAAATGAAAAAAAATTAAAATAGATACGAATATCTATTATTCATAGATAATAATACTAACTGCCAATCATAAAATTAGTGAGAAAAGCAAGGGCCATGGCATGTAGCACTTGTACAGGTAATCGTAAAGTGTTGGATTTTATGAAAAAAGGAAGTTATTAGCAAGGCAGTAACAAAAAAATTTTTTCCCTAAGCACTCTGGCTACTAGGTAGAGAAAGCATGATAGTGGGATATGAAAGGTAATAAGGAAATCAATTAGATACAAGTATAGTAAACTGTGTGTGGTACAGATAATTGTGATCTCTATGTATTTCACTTAGGTTGGATCCATGTAACTAGCTTTGACCAATGGGCTGTGGGCAAAAGTGATATCGTCATTTCCAGTCCACCAGACAACCTTCAAAGCCACTATTGCAGACAGTATAGCTACAAGATGTGTTGGTTGGGGATCACAACCCAAACCACATTAGATTTTATGCACGCCACAGTAAACCTTGGCTGTGTTTAAACTACTGAGATCAGAAGGTTAATTCGTTACTTGAGAGCCTATTCTGACTAAAACACTGAATAAAAAATGAAAATGGTATGAACCAATAAGGGAATGGAAGATAAAGAAGAGATGAAGATAAGAGGATGGGTTCAAGGTTCATTTTAAAGCTGAAAGGACTTGCAGAGTATGGTTTGGGAATAAGCATGGGGAAATCAAAGACGATCTTAAATATTCCTTCATTAAATTTAGTTCCAGTTGAAAATTTCCCTATAACACACAATTTTGTTTGGTTGTCAAACTCACGATTAGCTAAAAAAGAAAAAAAATATGGGTGGAGTTCATGTTATTGTACTTCTAGTAAAAATATTCTGATAGGGAAGTTGTTTATAAAAATTATGTTTGGGGCACCTGGGCGGCTCAGTCAGTTAAGTGTCTGACTTCAGTTCAGGTCATGGTCATCAGTTCATCATGATGGTCAGGTCAGTTCATCAGTTCGAGCCCCACACTGAGCTGTCTGCTGTCAGCACAGAGTATGCTTCGGATACTCTGCCCCTCTCTTTCTCTCTGTCCTTCCCCCCAACTTGTGTATGCTCTCTCTCTCTCTCAAAAATAAATAAACATTGGGGGTAGTGGGTCAAAAATAAATAAATAAGTAAATAAATAAACATTAAAAATTATGTTTATGTTCACACACTATATTAAATTATATTAACACAAAAAAATAGTAATATCAGATCAAATTTACGTAAACTAAATAATCCTGGGACTTGTAATACATGAAATGAATTTTCTATAAAAGATACCTTATCCTTTTTTTTTTTGGAAAGTCAATCCAATTTTATAGGATAAAAAAACAATAATTTATCCAAAAGTTTATGCCAGTAGTCAAAATGGGATATGATTTATGGCAAATTTCAACTGAACTAGAATTAAGTATGAGATTATCAGCTTACATGATGGCTGATCACATATAACCACATTGAAATAATACAGAGATCCATGGGTTTAGATGCACATTTTGGAAAGAGACAGATACCTTATCCTATATTTTAATAGGACCTAATAAAATCTGTTTGGTATGGTTAAAAATGACAAAAAAGCTTTACCACCAAAAATGTTCCCTTGTTTAAAAACATATCTTTCTAAAAAATAATTATGGTTGTAAACATGTTACAGATAAGCACATGGCTATTTCACTCAAAGTATATTAACACCTGTTATATCTCAAAATCAAGACATGTCTTATGTAAACAACTTACATGACCAATGATTTAACAGCTAATAAAACTTAGAACGTAAGTACTGACAACATAGCTGATACAACAACAAACCAGGAAGAATATGTGTATACCGAGTATCCTCTCTTCCCAATCAGCATATAAACCTGGCCTGCCAGACCACTAAGAACCCTGACTCCCTGCATTGAGTTGAACAAATCACAGACCACCACATGCTGATAAGGTGGAGTTCCTACTTCCAGTGAAAATCAGGGCAAAGACATCTGTGAGTGGAAACCACCGGAGGAGTGAGACTAGTCATTCCCCAGGAAGGTAGCATATTCCTTCATTACCCAACCTTGCTTATTTGCAGTCACCACTTAACTTGCAGGAAAAAAAAAAAAAATGCAAGCTATTTAGATCAAGTGGTTTTGAGT